CACAAAAGGTCATTCACTAGAATGTCAAACTTAATGTTCAATCCCTACTTTTTATAGGAAAGGCATAAGCAGCAAGAAAATCGTGGTCCCAGAAGTACCATTTTGAGGAAATTCCCAGCGCTCAGAGACCTTTGAGAAGAGACTACTGAGGTAGCTAAACATGACCCCAACAAGCACAGAGGCTGAAATAAAGTTGGAAGATACATAAACATTCCATACAATCATTTACCTTCTCATTTGCCTCAAGGCTGTCAGCCCTACACTAAATGCCTCAACATAGTCCTTGAGATCAACTCAAGTTCTCCAGGCTCTTCTCAAACACCTTAGGGATGCCTGGAATGTCCTGCTACGCCTATTGGCAGGCCATCTGCAGGACAGTACAAAGTCTAAGGCTTCCTTTTCTCTTATGGGGCTTTGGAAGTTGTGAAATGGTGATTTCACATGGTGACATTAGAGATGATCAAAACCCAGAGAAACAGCTGTTCTCTAAGTTAGTAACAGTGTGCAATTATCCATTTAGAGATGCTCCAGACTAATTTCTCCTTAATGGCAATATTCTTGCATCTCAATATCATTTAATCAATTTATGATCATTTAGATTAGCAATGGAAATCAAATCCACCAGATCAAAGCTAATGTTAGCCATAAAACTGACTAATTAGATTATTCAACTGTCCTTCTTTCCAATACCTGGAGTGTCAGAAAGCACCTCATATAAGTCAGAGTCCTTAACTGAATACAATAGTCTATTCAACTGATTTAAGGACAAAGAGATTTGTGCTCAAAGGATGTTGGGAAACTCACAAAATCTCCAGGAGGGTGGGAGAGCTATACACAAATGCCCCAGAGCACCGAACACCTGCTACATCGACACTGTCCAACAGAACCTTCTATGATGATGGAAATTATAAGCACTGTTGCTATACTGTCCGCTAGTCACATGTGGCTACTGAGCACTTGAAATATGGCTAGTGCAACTGAGGAACTGAATTTTTAATTTAATTTTAATTAATTGAAATAGCTACTGTATTGGGGACATCTGCATCTAAACCCCACTCAGGTACATATGACCAAAGGAACCTAGTTCTTATATCTGTACTGTAGCTATGATTCTACCTTAGGAAAGTGGGGCTCACAATTTGCAGGCTATCCAAATATAAAGGAGGGGATGTTCAAAAGATTCTGGGCAGCTGCAAATGATAAATGTCTACTACAATGTCCCTCTACATGTAAGTAATGTGCAGATGACTTTCGAAATGCATAGCAGTATTGTGTAAGAGGTGATCATCTAGAAGTGAAAGAAAAACAAAATGACAGAGGCCAAAAGAACTGGTTTTACAATACACATGTGCAGGTACTGTACACATCTTCAACTAGCATTTCTTGAGCCCTGACTCCTCTTTCATGGGTTGTGATAAGAAACTAGGGTAAATTTTTAAAATTCAGGGGAATTTAAAACTGAAAATTTAAAAAAAGTTTGTTAACTTATTTTAAATTACATATTAATATAAATGACTTTTATGAAAAATATATTCCTCCCCCTGCCTCCCCCCCCCCCACCCACAACAAACAAAACCGCACCCATCTATTTCGCCAAAATAACAAGAATGGCACCATTTTATACTTTTGCATTAACAGAAGACATCTGGATTCTTATATGTGCTTGTGTATTCAGGCTTTTGCAGTATCACACATCACATGGCCTCTGGAAAGCTCCACCGTACACTCTATTATCATGAAAATAGTTTTGACCTCACAGACCCCTTGAAAGTCTCAGGGGCTCCTATGGGTCCTTGGACTGTACTTTGAGAACTGCTAATCTAATGAAAAATCTAACTACACTGGGAAGATGGAGAAATGGGGAGTGTGCATTGAAATGCAAAGAGCAGAACTAGTAGAATTAAAAGGAGAAATTAACAAATACATTTAAAAAATCAAAATTCTTATCGCTAACCAAGGGGAAGTCAATAGATAATGGCTAACTGAAAAATAAAGGTGCTCCATGTATGTTATTTTATATATGTTTGTAAATATCAAAAGAATTAGCTAAGAGTTGAAATGGTAGTATTGGGGAAGAGAAAATGGGGAACAGAGAGGCTAGGGTCTAGTGTTTGGCTTAGCAAAGCTTTTGGAACTATTTGATTTTTTCAGTGGTGTGTACTTAGCAAACTACATATACCTTTGGTAAAATGTCTTTTTAAAAATCAAAAAAGCATGAACAGACTATAACCACCTCCCCCCCACCACACACACTCTTAGAAAATCTGCCAAAGAATTATTCCACTCTCCACCCCCTGCCCCCGCTCAAGGCATCAGTACCAAATAGTTTTGTAGGAAACATCTACCAAATGCAATGGAAAAGATAACTCCTATATTATTTAAACCATTTTAGGCAAGGAAGCTTCCAATGATCCAATATTAAAATAAATAGTTATTATAGCACATGCTAGACAATGAACTTAAAGTAAAATATTGATCAATCTTTCTGAATGGATCAGTAAGGACAAGTTATACAGAGAGAAGGACAACCTATGCTGACAAACTTTTAAGAGAAGCTATTTAATATCTAGTAACACATGCATAACTCAATTAAGGTTAAAGTGGAACCACGAGTTAAACCAAATGAGAAATGCAGCTGACGCACTAGCATCATTTTAAATATATGTTTCAGCTAACCCAAAGTGCCACATTAAATATTCCAAGAATGAGTTGGAAATAGCAAGGCATTACTATGATGCCCCAAAATGATTCCAAAAACTATGAACATGAAGGTTTAGATTCATACCATCTTAGGTAAGGTTTCCCAGAAGCGGACCATAAAAGAATTAGAGTGCAAATGATTTATCGAAGAAATGTTCCCAGGAGAAACTGGGAGTGGAGAGCTTAAGAGGGAAGCAGTAGCAGCCAAGCAGGGGTGCGATCTGGGGCAAAATCCCAGACTTAGCTTGGTCTAGCAGGAGAGCTCAGAAGTATGAGTTTGAGCCACCTCAAGACAAGGGAACTGGTCTTTTGTAGCCCGGCATTAGTCAGTCAATAGCTAAGAGCCTCTCCAGGGGGATGGAAACTGCCAGCCACTCTGGACCCATGCACAAAGTGATACCAGTCACCCAAAGACCCAGTCCTCGAAAGAATCATAGATGCAAGCCATTAGAAGCAAAAGCATAAAGAAGCTGTACAACGGGTGCATAGAACCGGTAAAAAGGATCAAGGGGATCTGGTCAGAGCCCAGACAGTATCTGCTACACATACCTGGTGATACTAAAGCATAAAGTGATGTGTAACCATATAGATAAACAGATGCTACTGTCTGTTAGGAAAGGATATTTTGTATATATACTTATTATGTTTTATTTCCAATCCCTCATTACTGTCCTAAAACTATTATATCAAAGAGAAATCTCAATTCTTTTCTTTAATTCTAAGATGTCACTTAGCATTAAGAGGCCTCATTGTAGTAAAAGTTAGTAAACACTGTTTTAACAAAAGTCACTAACGAAATAATATATCATAACAAACGTTCTCAATTGAGCTTTCTTTTTTATTTTTCAATTACAGTTGACACTCAATATTATTTTACATTAGTTTCAGGTGTACGGCATAGTGATGAGACTTCATGTAATTTACAAAGTGATCCTCCATTTAGTCTAGTACCCACCTGGCACTGTACACAGTAATTACAATATTATCGACTATATTCCCTATGCTGTACTTCACATCCCTATGACTATTTTGTAACTACCAATTTGTACTTATTAATCTCTTTGTCTTTTTTCACCCAGCCCCCAACTCCCCTCCCAG